TGTAACACTGCGTTACAATGTGCTATTCTATGACATTAGCGATGTAATTTACACTACTTTAATTAATTTTAACGAGAAACAACGAGAAACAGGTGAATAAAGACTGACAGTCAATGTTTAATGTTTAGAAATTATTATTTCAAGACATGTAAAGCAGTTTTGCTCGTTTATGTGGGCCGTCCCAAGCATGGTTGCAATGTGTTCATTGTCAAACTCCAAAATCAGATTATTTTTAATTCTCAAAAAACACCGTTATTTTATTTAAACAAAAAAATTATAATAATAAAAAAATATATATATAATTATTGACAAAATATTTTAGTTTGTCTTGTATATTTTTTTCATTGGATCAGATAAGATTTTAAGCTGTCATATGGTCAAGTTACAATGTGCCCCTCAGATGTTACAATGTGTTCCACCTACGGGGCATGTTGTCACATTTCACTTTCATTTTTTTAGGGTAAATAAAGAAAAGCATATACACTGTAATTATGAAACAAAGCGACATATTTGTACTAGACAAGTGTAAAATTACTGTGGATAAAAAATATATATATATATTCTGAACCCCAGTAGCAAACAATGGAGAGCGCTCTGCTGGACAAACGAAGTAATTACACCATTTCAAGCATTTTATCTGGATTATGTTCTGTAAAAAAAAATTTCATGTTGGCGGCATATTCGCCGATACCGATATATCGGTGACAGGCTCATATCGGCCGATGTGTTAATGTCTCAAGCAGTGCTGCTTCTCAAGTGAATCTTGTTGCAAGGACGTTTAGGTTCTTTAATGGAAAACAAGACGAAAATATTGGATTGTAAAAACATGATTTATTTATTTAGTGCAGTGCAGTAAAATATTATCAACAACAAATTTACCAAAAGAATAAATACAGAAAGAATATTTATACTTAATCAGCATTAAATAAGATGAAATGGAAGAGAATACACTGATTCATCACTGCTTTCTGTATTTCAGGATGAAAACATGATCAGTTTTATTAAAGGAGGTATTAAAATACGCACAAGTTATCAAATTTACAAGTGAGTCTGAAATCAATACCTCTGTTAAAATATTATATAATCTACAATATCTTTAAAAATATTGTATTTTTTATATATAAAATTTGACGTTATTACATATAAGCAACAATTGAAAAATATTTGCATTATAATATTTTTAATGTAATATTTTATATGATATTATTATATTTAACAACTGAAAAAAAATCAGTTTAGTACAAAGAGATAAAATACAGATTGTCATCCTCCACCCCAATATAATATTTTTTATATTTATATGCAGAGAAATAGTATTAGTAATGATATATTATAATATTTTTATTAATATGTATTATTATTTATTATATTGCATATAGAACATATATGTACATATGTAATATTTGCTTATATTTATTTTTACATTTATATACAATTTTATATATATACTAATATTATAACATTATTGTTATTCTGTAGATAAGGATTAAATATAAAATGTAAATATAAAAATTTAAATGATTTATAAATATATATTTAAATTATGTAATTATAGAATAATCACGCTCCAGCAGCACTTACATACAGCAAACTCACCAGTTCTGGAGGCTTTGTTCAGATTTCATTCATACTGATTTATACAACATTTTATTTCTATAAACATGTGTTTTTCTGATGTATGGAGTCATAAATAGAAAAACTTTAACACTAATGTCAACAAAGTCAGACAAGAATTATGAACCTGGCTTCTTCAGATTTTCTGATTTATTTGCTGGAAATGTATGTAAATTAGTTCATATTAGTTATATATTATAATTGTGTGTTTGCAGGATTAAGGAGCTGAAACGGAGTAAAGAGCTGGAGCGCAAATGACTGACCACCTGACCTCAAACACACAAACACACACACTCACACACACAAACACACACACTCACACACACACACTCTCTCTCTCTCTCTCTCTCTCTCACACACACACACACACACTCTCAGTAACAGCTGTTGTGTCCTCCAGGAGTTTGGTTTGTCTCAGCTGCGGGACGGCGCTGGCAGTCACAGTCTCAGGTCTATCTTGTGCGTCCTGACGCTGCTCCTCTACCACACTTACGTCTGTCTGATTCTGGGTAATAATCCAAACCCACATCAGACACTTCTGACTCAGTAACTCTCGGTAACTCTGCCAATGGGCAAGAAAAATAATCTTAATTCAAAGGCTAAGAAAGATTATTTTTCTTACCATATTTGCAGATATTTTTTACTTGTTTTAAGCAAAAACTAACAAAATTTTGATATTTTTCCAGAAAACAAGACATGATATCTTAAGTCATTTTACTTGTCAATGCATCCTGATTCAAGAATATGTAGATATTTATACTAGAAAACAAGACAAAAATCAGTTTTTACAGTGTTATCTTTAAAATGTAATTGTGATTTAAAATGTGACTAAAGTTTGTCGTGATGCTGTGTGTTTTAGGCACTGGTGAGGGGAATCTGGTGGAGGCCGAGGCTTTATTAGAGCCCTACATAGAGCGATTTCCACGGGTCAGAACCTGAACACACACACATCAAGAATTAATAAAGAAACCATTTGCTCCATTTCTTTTTTACTCAACTCATATTTGCACAAACTCATATTCTGTTTGTTTGATGTTAAGCATAACGTCTTCCATGTCTTTCATTAAACATAATTCTTCAGCTGTGTTACTCAGTGTTTTTTTCTCAGGGCGCAATCATCCTGTTTTACTCGGCTCGGCTCGCCTTACTGAGGGGAAACTTTGAGAACGTGAGGGATCTTTGATGACATTTACACGTTCTGCCAAAAAACTATAAAAATAATAATAATCAAGATTTTTAAATGTAAAGAGAAGAAGTCTCTTCTGCTCACCAAGGCTGCATTTGTTTGCAATATTATAAATCTATTTTAAATTCTAATAATGTTTTTTCACAGTATTTCTACTCAGTTTAACAGATATTCACATAGAAAACAGCTGTTTTAAATTGTAATAATATTTCACAATTTTTACATACTTTTTTATCAAATAAATGCAGCCTTGGTGAGCAGAAAAGACTTCTTTCATTAACATTTAAAAATGTAATTTTTGACTGCTGATGTTCATACTGTGTGTGTGTGTGTGTGTGTGTGTGTGTGTGTGTGTGTGTGTGTGTGTGTCAGGCGCTGGTGAAGTTCCAGGAGTGTATCTCGGCGCAGCAGCAGTGGCGTCAGATCCATCATCTATGTTATTGGGAGCTGATGTGGTGTCACTCGTTCCAGCAGCAGTGGAGAGAAGCGTATCGATACGCAGACCTGCTGTGCCGAGAGAGCCGCTGGTCTAAAGTAACCACTCATAACACTCTCACTCTCCTGTTTATTAATGACAAACTATCAGTATTGTGTAAAATGAGCTGTCTAGAACCAGTTTTTGCACACAGTTCTGCCGTCACAGCGCAGTATTTACCACACACAGCTTACCTTCACCACGTTTGGTAAAAATAAAGAAGATATGAATATGGAACCAAAATGGTATTTAAACTGTTATCAATAAAAGTCGCGGGGCAGTGTTGACAATTTTCCGTTCTCCTGGATGTGTGAGCTGCGCGATCTCCAGTGTGTGTGTGTGTGTGTGTGTGTGTGTGTGTGTGTGTGTGTGTGTGTGTGTGTGAGTGAGTAAGCAGCGCATTAATATAGAACGGTAATTGAAGGCTCTACAGTATAGATCGTATAGTAGTGGTGTCCCAATTCTTGGGGGAATATTTTCACCCCTACCCCTTGACACTGTTTCAAGGAACAAGGGGTAGGTGTAGGGGTATAAAATAGAATTGGGATTGGGCCTTTGTCTCAAAATAAGCCTAGAATGCAAAATAATAAGCCTAAGTATGGATAGTAAAGATCCAAAAGTAGAAACCAAGTAACAAAAAAGTTATAATTACTGTATAGAGTATATTCACAGTTTGTGAAAATAAATCCGATATAAAAATGTTAAAATATTTGATGAATAGAGTTTTATTTATTTATCCTTTTTGTAAAGTCATAATTTTGTTATAATTTAATGGGGGGGGGGTTGGTTTGGCCTGCAGACAACATAATACTTATTTATTATAATAAACCCACAACAATTAAAAAACAAAAACATACAAAAATGTGCGTTCCCCTATTTTTTCAATTTATTGATGATATTAGCAAGTGAGATTTCAAAGATATTTTGACCACCGAACAAGGGTCGTTGCAGTTAACTAAAGCTAAAATTAAAACATTAAAAAAAATGTTTTTACTTGAAATAAACATTAACTGAAATAAAATAAAGTATAAATAACTAACTATAGTATAAAATAAATATATGAAAACTATAATAGTATAACATGAATATAAAAAGGCAACATTTCTGTTTTTATTTAGTTTAACTTGAGTATAACTTTCATTTAGTTTATCTTAAAATGACTAAAACTGAAACTGATATAAAAATTAATAAAACTTATGTAAACAAAAACACAAAATTCTGAAAACTTTTAGGGATGCATGATATTGTATTTTTGCCGATTATGCCGATAATTTTCAACTAATTTTGGTCGATAGCCGATATATAATTATTTTTAATTTTGGTTAGTTTTTAACAAGAACTTATTTGATAGAAGTAAATAAACAATAATAAAGTTATTTTATAGTGACAGTACATTTGAAGATTTGAAAATAACTAAATAAACTATATATTAATCACTGCATTTATTTTTCAGAAAGATGCAGTGGTAACCTTAACATTTTATTTTATGATTTCACCTTTGTAAATAGTCTAAAGCAAAAGACCAAAGAATCAAAAGTAAATGTAAGCTATAGCCTCTGACCTTTAAATCAAAATATACTCATGCTTTTATGGCATCAATTACTGCTTTATTTAATCAGAAACACAGTCTAAATATTATTTGTGTATTTTGCTTTCATTTTATTAGAAGTATGCCAACAGCGCCCCCTACGGAATTAAAACTCTTTTCTGAGTGGGCATTAGGACCCGGGGGAGGCTGCCGCTGCACGTGCTATTACTGTTTACTTTATCGCACACTGAATGCATCGTTCTGTCCGTGCATTCTCAGTTTAAATGCAGCGATCCAAAACAGTGAATCCAATCACCATTCAAGAATGAGTCACAATGCTGATGTGATTTAGTCGCATTGTTGACGTGATCTAATCGCTAGCACACCCTGAGCACATGTGAGTTAATGTATTCCTCTTATTGGCAAGACGTATTGGAATAAATTTTCATATCGGGTCGATGCCGATAT